ACAGGTTTACTTACCCTTTACTTAGCCTAAAGCAGAGTATATGTAGAAGTGTTTAAAACCCAATTATTTTGTCCTGAACGTGGCAAAAGATGAGCACCCTAATTGTGTGTGGATCTTTCCAAACTCTAGGAATCTTATTTACTAAGTTATACCGAATTTCATTATACTTGCACGTAATCATTGTGAGAAATGGTAGCAATGAATACATGAAAACTATTCCTCAAACGAGAGAAATGGCTTCATTTTAAAAATGTTCCTCTAATTCTACATGCACGCAAATAGACATACTTGTAGCACCGTATACTTCACGTAAGACAAAATCTTTCTCATTAACATAAAACAACAATGCACAAAGTACACGCACAAATTTGTGTGCATTTAGTATATGCATAATATACGTGCACAGGCACATGCTGGAAAAAAAAATGCCTCAAGAACCTCAAGTGATAAGAGGCTGGCAAGTTATTCATTATGCTGCTTCACTGCAGGATCAAAACAAGATGTTCAGAGGCATAATGGTCAAACGAAGACGTACAGGTCTTCATTTTAATGGTAATGTTACAGACCACAAGATGATATTCCAGCGTGTCTCGACTACATATAAACCAAAATACAAACACAGAAAATGTATGCAAAACAGATTTCCTTTTGAAAGCAGCGTCTTACCTTGCATGAAGAAGGAGCTAGGAAAAGTGCTGGCTGCTGGTTTTGAGGATGGATAACCTGGTGAATCCCTATTGTAGTCGGCAGTGCTTGCTGACGGGGCATAAACCTAAGGAAAAAAGACTAATTTAGTATGCCTTTAGCAGGAAGCAGGGAAGAAATATTGAGTTTTTACCTTGCTCAGTATAAATCAGTTCACAACACCACATAATTCTTCTCTCAGAACACAAAAACCTCAGTATACGTGTGACTGGAAAATAAATTTTAAGCTTCAAAAGAAACTCCAGCCTGACATTTTCCAGCTTTAAACAAGGATATTTGCAAGGTATTTGTCAAACTATGTATTTCTGTAAATAAAATGAACAAACAGATGTACATATGTTCCTCCTAGAGCATTACGGAGCTTAAAATAAACAGGAACTTGAAACAATGCTCATTTTCTCGTATGAAAGCATACAGACTTTACCCACTTAAGAACAAAACTGACAGCACTGCAAGGAAGTAGAAAAAACTTTATTTCCCAAACTAAAAAAAGTGAAATCTAGAAAAATAGCATTATCAAGAACGCTGAAAATTACAAACATATCTTGGGATATTAAATTCCCATGGACTGAGCTCTTTCCAGAGAAGCTTGAAAGGACGATTAAAAACCTGGATCTAAACAAGACCACCAACACAGCATACGTACACATCAGGGGAAAAACCTCCTCCTTTCTTAGGACTTATTATATTTGTCTGTGCAATAAGCTTAGTACGTGTGCCAAAACACTCATTTACTTATATTTGTTTACTAATACACCAGAGCTTTCTGCAACTTGCCTTTTAGAAAATATCTGTTGTATTTCTTGCTTTAGTTTAGCTCAACCAGGACAGCATTTAAAAACAAAACCAAACCAAAAAAATCCCCCAAAACCAGTCCGGGCTGATAAGCGTCATTTATTGTTTACAGTGCAATTTGTTCCCCCTGCCTATATGCTCTCTATATTCCTCCGCGCTTTGTTTCTGCGCTGGAGGTGCCTCTCTCCAGATGGTCAGGAAGACTGAAGCACTGTCATCTCCTTGATGAAAATGGATACCTTCCTGCCTCCATTTTGAAGCAGGCAGCAGATCACAAAATTGGCAGAGCGCCTGCTCCGACGTTCGCAGGTCACAGCGAAAGGCAAGAGAAATCCACCAGCGCCGCGCGGCCGCCGGCAGGGCTGGGAAGAGCGCCCGGCTCTCCTCCGCCGGCATCCCCCAGCCAGGGCAAGGGGAGCAAAGGTCTCATTAAAAAAAAAAAAACACAACAAACCACCCCAAACCAAAAACCAGGGAGCAAAAGGCCGAGGGCTGCGGGATGCTGAGTAACTTTCCCGCACGCCTCGGGGCTCCCGGCGCCCGAGCGAGGAGCGGGGCGGTGGGATGGAGCCAGGCATCCCGGCATTGCCTCCCCGGGTGGCACGGCAGCTCCCCTGGCTTCGTGAACCTAAACGTCACCCACGCAGACAGGGCCAACGTTGCAAATCAAAGCAAAGTCTTTTTTCTTAATACAGCGCCTTATGCCTCAGTCGAGGCCGACATGGGTTTGGGGTGCTCAGCACTGCGCACCCAGGAGAAGGAGAAATACCCCACCGCCTGTGGTGCGGCGTGGGGCGGCAGCAGCCAGGAGCGAGCCCCAGGAAAGCCTGAGGACTATTTGGACGGGTAAAACAAGAGGCAACGTAGCTCTTCACCCAACCGGCCAAAGCAACCCACAGTGAAGCCAACAGCCTGCGCCGCTGAGCGGGAGACACCGGGTGGGATGCAATCACTGCCAACTGCCATGACACTGGAATCACAGGAGTGAACGTTCTACTCGCCTGTCAGCATTTAACTGGATCAAAGGTACAAACAGACAACAAGTAATAGCCAAACCCTGCTGCCTGCCTGCACGAGGGCAGGCAGGGCTGACCCTGGCCAGACAGGGGCACCCAGCTCTTGGGCGTGCTATGCCCTGCCGGGCTCCGATTTTGGAGCAGGGCTGCCACGTACTCTCGGTGGGCACCGCCGTCCCAGCCTCTGCTGCGACAGCGAGGGACTGGAGGGTCCCGCCACCCCAGGATCAGTCCCTGCACCCATCAGTCAGGGCAGGCACCAGCTGCGAGCTGTGACAGCCCAAAGTGTCACCTCTAATATTAGCACCTTCAGCATCGCTGTTTTCAGATCAGCTCTCCCTTTAGGATGCTGAGTGATGCAGAAAGCAAGCTGGCATGGGACCTTAGCGATGGTTTCAACCTGGGGCCGGGGGGAAAGTCCCTCTTGACCTCAGCCCCTCTGCATCTTGCAAAGACGAGTGCTGTAATTCAGCTAAGGGAGGGGAGGTTGCGGACGCAGGCAAGAGGCTTTTTGAAAGTCCTGAGAGATGGGATGAAGGAGAGCTGTGGGAGGCATCAGTCAGCCCAAACCTCCCCTCTCTGGTCAGCGGGAGGGTAAGGGGATGCCTCCCCCAAACACCCCTTCCCAACCCCGCTCTCTCCCACTGCTGCTCCCGCACCGGCTTCAAAAATGCTTCATTCAAGTTCTGCAGTTATCAGAGAACAACGCTACAGAAATTGCAGAGTTTTTCAGAAAAAGATATCTGAATGCCAGATTTAAGGATGAGAGATTAAAGATGGACAGGTAGGGGGGAAAAAAAGGGTGCTCGAACACACCCAGTGCCCAGACAGAGAGGAAGCGAGCACACAGGTTGGAAAGCAGCAAGGACATCAAAGGCAGGATGCTGGCTATGCCGGCGCTTTAATAAAACACGCATCGGGCACTTCTTGCACTTTCAAACAAAGCGGCGTGCGTGCTGATCGCAGAGCAGCTGCGCTGCTCTGACACGTCTTACAGAGGTGTAACGGGTGCCTTCAAAGAACAGCTTCGCTGCGCCACGGTATTTCACGTAGAGTAATTTCTCTACTCTGCTATATCATGATATATCATGCTATATGCTATAACGTGTCCAGAGAAGGGCAACGAGGCTGGTGAGGGGTCTGGAGAACAAGTCTGATGAGGAGCGGCTGAGGGAGCTGGGGTTGTTTAGCCTGGAGAAAAGGAGGCTGAGGGGAGACCTCATCGCTCTCTACAACTCCCTGAAAGGAGGCTGTAGCGAGGGGGGGGTCGGTCTCTTCTCCCAAGTAACTGGCGAAAGGACGAGAGGAAATGGCCTCAAGTTGCGCCAGGGGAGGTTTAGATTAGATGTGAGGAGAAATGTCTTTACTGAAAGAGTAGTTAAACATTGGAACAGGCTGCCCAGGGAAGTGGTGGAGTCACCATCCCTGGAGGTATTTAAAAGACGGGTAGATGAGGCGCTTAGGGACATGGTTTAGTGGGCATGGGGGTGTTGGGTTGACGGTTGGACTCGATGATCTTGGAGGTCTCTTCCAACCTTAATGATTCTATGATTCTATATTTAACAGCTCGGGGCCTTTCACTTGGTGTCCGCCGCCGCCTGGCGCAGGGTTTTCTCTCTGGGCTGCACCCATGGAGCGGGGAGGGTCTCCTGGGAAGGGCGGCGCCTGCCCCGCCCTGCCCCACCCCTCCAGCACCGCCCTGGCTGGACATGGGATGCCCGTGCCACTGACTTTGGAGAGCAATCGCCCCCCTACCCAGAGGTGACCACATCTTGCTCTTGTCTCAGTAGATCCTAGTTGTCCCCTACTTGTTGCGCTCGAGGTTACCAGGCTGGCATAGAAGTCTGGTGCGCACGTCAGAGGAAAAACAGTCACAACTACGTGTTTTTAACTTGCGCAGTGAGAAGGTCAGACGCGGTTACACCTCTCTTTCCTTGCTTTGTTTGACAGGTATCCCACAAAGCGCCCTGACTGCCGGGGAGGTTTCCCAAGGGAGAGGTGAACACCTAGCGGGTGACCTCATCAGTGAGGCAATGATTCCAGCGCATCCCAACTACCGCGCGGTAAGAGCAGCTACCTGGGAAAAACAAGACCGGCCCTGGCCTGGAAAGAGATGAAGAAAACCCCTCCCGCGTCCCCTGTGATCACTCCCGCTATTTTAGGAGCGACTGTCACCTCTCTCTCCCCTGCCCCAGGGCAGGGACAGTCCCTTCTCGGCCCCCTCTCCCCGCACACAGGCTCCCCGCGCAGCCCAGCCCTCCTGCTCACGACGATATACGTCCATCTCGACCCAACGCCTGGTTTTTCCTGTATTCCTGCAGCCGTCCAGCCTGACTGCTTTCAGACATGACTCCAGCTCAACCAAAATCACACCCGGAAAGGGCCCCCTCCCGCTGACGGAAATTTGGCTTTGCACCTCAGCATTCTGCAGTACCTGCAGAGCACGAGTTATAAAGGTCTAACAGCTCCCCATACGCACTGTAAAGAAAACGAGCATGGATTTTACGCCTCTTGCTCGCTTATTCCCTAATTTATGAGTTTGCTTCGCTTCGTTGCTTGTTGTCGAACTGAACCGTAAAGCTGCGTGGCCAGAGTCTCCAAGGCGGGTGCCCGAGCTGCAACTGCCCCTGCGCCGGCGCTGCTCGCCGCGCCGCCAGGGCTCAGTAGGAACGCGCTTCAGAAAGAGCCAAAACCGGTACAGCCAGCACGTCAATGAATTCACAGAAAACCATGGCGGCGGCCGGGCGGGAGGCGGTGGGCCGCCTTCGGGCTCCACCTGCCTGCAGCTGCAATCCATCGCCCCTGTTGGCAACAGGAGACGCGCCAGGACGAGGTGGCGGTTCAGTCTGGGTCGAACGCTTTTGGTGACGCTTTCTACCGTTCTCAGCAGTTGTATAAAATGCTGAATGAAGGCTTTGGCACACGCCAGCCGGGGCTCTCCTGGGCACGCAGGTCAGCTTGGAGGTCGGGAAGGGAAGGAAAGCAAAGCGCCGGGAGGAGCAGGGGAGGGCGGCTGGAGGCTGGCGGTCGTGAAATGACGGGGAAAAAAGCCAAAATAAACGCCCGCTTACCAAACGTCGTGGAACTGTTTTTTTTGGGTGTAACTCTTCCTCGCTAAAGACAGATACTTGATTTATTCTTCTGCTGGGTTTACAGCTGAATTTTCACACAGTGAAAGCCACTGGGCTGAAGCAAGTTAACTAATTTTGCTGTGACAGGCTCAGTCATAGGAAGAACTTGAGGAGATATGGGGTAG